GTAGTATTTATTATCAGTTTATCAGTTGTTTTGTTCAGGCTTTTTATAGAAGCCATTGCAGAGCGAAGCTTGTGTGTTAGGTCTAATGCTGGGCACACACCTAACAACCATCGCAAGACTTTTGTCTTGCGATGGTTGTAAGGTACTTCAAAAAACGTACGATCTGCCTATCTTGCATAGGCAGATCGTACTTGCGATGATCGCAAGCCATGCCCCCTGATGGGTGGGCTTCCGATGACCGCAACGCCGAACGGGCAGTGTGCGCTTGCGCACACCGGCCTGTCCGGCTTTTATCTTACGAACATGCTACACACCCGCCGAACATCGTAGTTTTGAAACATGTTCGTAAGTTGAAAGTCGTGCGACCTTACAGTAGTAGAGGTCGCACGGCTTCCACATACCTTACGATAATCGTACGATCGCGGGATTCCCCGCGATTATCGTACGATTATCGTAAGGTGTGTGGGCACCATTAGAAATCAAGTCTTATACAGAATAGGCTGCACTGGAATTCAAAAAGGAAAGGATCGTTGCAGACAGATTTATGCTTGGCAATTATACTTTCTGTATAAAGGTAACATATATATTATTTCTTTTGAGAACAACATGCAATGCCCTACTGGGCAACCAGGCGCTCCGTAAAAAGATAGAAACATGTTTTTTTCCCAGATAGGTAAGGACCTCCAGACTCAAAATGGTTGCCCATTTTTTTAAATTAAAAATCATTGTGGTTGTAGATTATTTTATTTTTTTATACCAGTAATAAAAGAGTGTTTTTTAATGCTATTTTTATACAGTATATGAATACTATAACCCTGTACAAATATTATAGAATTTCGTATTAAAATTATTCTGCTAAAGTGATCAGAAGCAGACTAAGGCTGGGTTCACACCTGGGTGTTCGAAATATACGTGTATGACGCGCATTTCGGGCTGCGCATTTTTACCGCAATTTGCGGTCCACGAAACGCACGTCAAACGCGCGTTTACGAGAGCTATCCGGCTGTATTCTAATGGATACTCGCGGAAATACGCCCCAAAGAAGCTCCTGTACTTGTTTGGGCGTAGGGCGTTTTTCAGCGCGTTTCGACACGCTGAAATACGCCCAGGTGGGAACCATGCCCATATGAAATAATAGGATTTCACTTGCTGAGCGTTTTTCAGCGCTTCGATCAGCGCTGAAAAACGCCCACGTGTGAACCCAGCCTTAAACAAGTCACAGATCATTACATTTATGTAAAATATAAAAAATACACAATTTAATAGAAATTTCCCATTTAATTGGAAAGTTCCTGTCGGGGTTGAATCACTGTATGTAGTAACAGACATGCATCACTCTCCTCCCACAGCTCCAAGATGACATTAGAACCAGGAGTGAAAATTATAGAATTTCACCAGCATATCTACTTGCTAGTAAAATCTGGTAATGCAGCATGCCGGTTAACATTAAAAGCAAGGATCCAGATAGTGTTTCCCAACCCAAAAAGTCAGTGTGCTATATGTGTGTTTTCAAAACAGTACTCAAATTCTTATTAAAAAAACAATAAATAATGATAAACCTAATCAAACAAATACATTAAATTAGACTAGACTTTGTCATTTGGACAAACCTGCAAATCAACGAAATTCCGTCGATTTGGCGGTTCGTCCGATCCCAATTAGCGAATTATATGCCCGAATATATGAAAAACGTATTCGGCACATAGTTTGAGAACGCGCGGAAGCCATATTGGCCACTGGCACATTCGGCGCATACGCGCCACCATCTTGGAGGCGGGGTGCATGACATTACATGACACCGCGTGTGCGTGGCGTTAGGTGACGTCATGCATCCCGCCTCCTCCGCAGAACGCCCCAGTGACTGATATGGCCGCCGAGCGTTCTCTTCTTTATGTTTGCAGTTTCGGATTGGGAGGGTCATTGCCACCGAATCCGAAATAGCATCAAAATTTGTTTCGTTTGAGGAAACGAATGAAACCATTTTTAGTTTTCGTTCCTTCCGTCCGAAACAAATTTTTAGCATTTGCACATGTCTAAATTAGACAATTCTATGTACCCGACTTTGTAAAATTAGAATATATTTTAAATTATTATTGAAGGATTTTTTATTTAAAGGAATATTGGGTGTTTTTGTGGTATGTATGCAAGATAAGGGGGCAAGAGCACAGGATTGGGGTTTCGTAGGTTATTAAAAAAGTGTGTTGCCAAAAAGATTTGCCAGCAGTTTCTGTAAACACTCTGATTTTAATGCTAGAACTATTGTTTATTATTATTTTATGTTTTTGTGTTCCGTCCCAGTCTATTCCTACTCATGTTTCTTCTTATGTATGCATTTGCCTGCCCTGTATTTCATAATTAACCTGGTGCCGTGAACAAGATTGGTGTCGAGAATACATGACCTTGGTTCCCCACCATGTGCTCTGTCTTCAAGGGATCTCCTTGATGGCTTCTCTTTGGTCCTTCCTCATTTCTCCACTCCATGCTCTATCACACGTTTCTCTCCTTTTTCTCCATTCCAGTTTTTCCTGTACCTGCACTTACCCTTGTTGCTTTCCCTACACCCCTTTCCCTTTTTCTGCTTTCTTATTTTTCTCTTGCTCTACTGGGGGGCCATGGCCTGCTTGGCCCAGACTCGGACTCCCCATCGTCATTGGTACTGTGGGTTCCCTACCTACACAGTATTGTTGCATGCTTTTGTACCATTATAACCATGCTAAAGGGCGAGGCCCTTGTCCCCTCATGCATAGATTTGTCTACCCTCCATGTCAACTGTTTTTGCTATCTATGGTTTGAGTTCCTCAGTGAGAGTACATTATGGTTTTTAGGTCAACCCCTTAAACAATGGCATTGCTGTTCCCTCTCGCCATGGACCCCCTATTGTTTTACACGGTCCTGTTTCCCCACTGCTTCCCTTATATTTATGATTTTTTTGCCGTATCTGCTCCAGCCTATTCCTGCTCCTTGGACATGTGTTATGCATTTGATGTGTTTCACATGGCTGGAGCTTTTTTATCCCCTTTCTGGACTTTTGGCCCCATTCTCCAAACACACTGCCCTCTCTCCACACTGGCATCAGTTCTTTTGGCCACATCGCCTGTTTGGACTATGCACCTCTCCACTATGGTGAAGTAGATTGTTTTATGTGGCTCTCTGATTAATCCTGGGGCTATTGTTTACTGCTATGCTATGTTTTTGTGTTAAATCACTATTCTATTCTGGCTGATGTTTTCCCTTATGTATGCATTTGCTTGCCCTGCTAATAAACCTGGCCTACTCCTGGGGGGAGTTACCACCAACCGCTCCATAATAGTTGATATGTTCTGCTATCATCTGTCCTCTCTCTGTGCTAATTCCCCAATTGTGACCGTCAATTCTCTACTGTTTCTCAATCTTTCCGTGATAAGCTTGATTCAGATATCACTGAACAGGAAGTTCTTTTGGTCACCTACACCCTCAAAGCCAACAAATCCCCAGGGTCTGAAAGGTTCTCCAACCTTTATTCTAAGAAATTTAAGGGCATACTAGTTCCCCACTTAGCGAGACTCCTTAATGTACTGAAGTCCCGCCACTCCCTCCACCCTTCCTCCCTATCTGCTAATGTTGATATGTTACCAAAGCCTTGGAACAATGACCAACAACCATCCGATCTCTTTGTTGGACTCGGATGTCAAGTTGTTAGCTAAAATCCTAGTGATGAGGTTGGGTTTACCGGTTCTGCCAAGCTGGTGATTCTATGTGCAAGGTAATTCATTTAATCCACCTGATGCATCAGAGTTCTTTGTTGGGTTTTCCGCTTTCACTGGATATCCATTAGGCATTCAATACAGTTTCGTGGAAATATCTTCAAAAAATCCTGACTTAGGGGCATTTTGGCCCTGCTTTTCATTTGTGGGTTGCCTCTCTGTATAATAAACCCTCGGCTCAAGTGACTTACCCCATTTACTTTACTGCACTATTAAGTGTTATGGGTGGAACTAGACAGGGATGTCCCTTGTCCACCATCCTTTTTATTCTTGCTAATAAACCCCTGGCTGTGCTCATTAGGAATAACCCTTCCATCAAGGGTGTTGAAGTGGCTGGTGACCCTTTAAAGCTTATTTTATTCACAGATGACATTTTACTGAAGCCAACTCAACCCATCATCTCCTTGCAAGCCTTTGGTGATGTATCCTGTCTTGTAGTCAATCACGGCAAGTCCCAAACTCTGAACCTCTCCCTTCCCTCTACCATTTCTCTTCTACAACAGAATTTTCCCTTCTGGTGGGTCTCTAAATCTTTCCCGTAATAGGCATTTGCCTCACCTGCTCCTATGACTCCCTCTATTCTGCTAACTTTATCCCTCTTTTTCAATCCTTGAACACTTTTTTGTCCTCCTGGAACAATTTGTCCATTTCTTGGTTAGGCCACATATTTGCAGTTAGGATGATTCCAATGGACGCCTTGAGATCTATGCAACACCACGTCATGTCCTTTACTTGGAACCGTCAGCACCCTAGAGTGGCTCGGAAGACCATGTACTTTAACTGCACACAAGGTGGGCTAGGGGTCCCTATTCTCATTAAGTATTATCGGGTGGCGCAAATTACTCCCATAGCGGGTTTCTATTCTAATGTGGATACTCCTCTTTGTGTTCTTTTAGAAATACCATATGTGCACCCTGTTTCTTTGCCCACCTTATCCTGGCTTCCTGCCATCCGGAGACATCCTATCTTAGCCCTATCTTCAGAATACCTTGAGGATTCGGTTACATTTTCTGTTCGCTGATCTCTGCACACCTTCCGCTCACCACTCATGGGCAACCCTATGTTTTCTCCTGCGTTGGACAGCACCGTCCCTTGGTGGCCTGCCCATGGGTATACTACCATGTCCCATTTCCTTAGCGGCTCCAACATATTTTTGGACACTAGTTTCTAGGTACCAGCCTCTGCCCAGGGAATTCTTTTGATATTTCCAGATAAGACATTGGATGCAGTCCCTCATTAGGGGATGGGATGTGTCAGCCACCCGGATGACTTTCAAACAAATCTGTTCTAGGGACCCAGATTCCCACAAACTCATTTCTATGCTTTACTCCCTCTTTCTTGACTAATAATTATGTTGTCAAGTGGCTACATGAATAGCACCAGATCTATGGAGGAGTGGGCTGTAAGATGCTCATGCAACATATAGTAGCATCACAAGAGTCAGCATACAAGGAACTCACGAGATGGCTTCTAGTCCCAGCCAGGATTTTACACCTTCTACCCACGTATCCCAGCTATTGCTTTAGAGAATGTAGTGCGGAGGGTGATGTAATGCATACATGGTGGTCTTGCCCTTTTGTTATCCGCGTCAGGAGCAAAATGTATAGACTAATTTCAACACTATTCCATGTTCCAGTTCACAGAGAACCCTTGCATGCTCTGCTTAATTCTGAAGTTGCTCATCTAGATCGCTTCCAAAAGGAAACTGGTTGATTTTGTACTGTTGGCAGCCAAGCAAACCATCGCTCACTCCTGGAAAAAAATAAACTACAACCTATGAGGAGTTTAAGCAACGCATGCGTGGGTTCACCGAGAATGAACAATTATCCAGCATACATACAGATTTCTGTGAAATATTTAAGAAAATATGGACCCCTTGGATTTCATGAGCACTTCCTGTGCTGGACCACTACATATTGATCCTTGTGTGGATTGGCTGGCTGGTTCTCAGCTTGGGTTGTCTCTTGCCTCTCTTCACCTCCGCTTCCTCTTTTGTTTTCTGCCCTGCTTGGAAAACTCTATCCCTCCTGG